ATATATTTCTCATGCCTCTCTACGTACGTAATTCTACGAACATACTTTCGTAGGTATGTGCAAATGTTACATTCCAAAACCGCACATTACCACCTTTATGACAGAAACGCACTCACTCGGCGGTCACAACATTGACCAGACAAAACTATTCCATAAATAAACAAAAATTGTCACAGTTTTGTATTAGTTTTTTTTAATGTTGTTGTTTTTATATTTTAACATTTCAATTTGTTCTCTTTCTTCTCCTCTTCCTCTATAAATATAAAAATAATTTCACTTGAGGAAAGTTCTCGGAGATAAAACGAATTATCATGTAATTGATTGCACAACACTTTTTGTAAAATTTTTGCAAGCAAAATTTCATTCAATTTTTTTCTTACCCCCTTTAAAGTATTTTGTTTTTATATAAAATTTTCTATTTGTGTTATTATTGATTTAATAACAAAAATATAATCCACCACCGTTACCGTCGTGAAAGACCCACTTTCGTTTATCCAAAAGGATTTTTTTTTGTTTTTGCTTACCGCCTAACCACTAATTTGTTAACCTTCTTCGCACGAGATTTGGACCGACCGATTTAAAGGCAAGCGACCGTCTTTCACATATGTGCAACTTAAAAGAATTTTAGCGCTACGGAACCGATATAATTTGATGTGTAATAGTTTTGATTAAATGTAATCCACCTTTTGTCGAGCTCTCTCCCTCTCTCTCAATTATTCTCTGCCTCTCGTTGACTAAGTACTTTACAATTGTTAGATGTACTACTGCTTCTATTTTTCCACCTCACAAACATATCGTTTTGGCGAGAATTTTGCAAATTGCATTCGTGAATTTGTTTCGCCACAAAAAAAAATTGGCCCTCCCTCGGCTTGCGACATCTGGTCGTGACTTGTTGTCTCTCGTCGTTGTCGTTCAGTTGTTAATACACAGACAAAAAAGATAAAACAGATGTTTTATCTTTTAGCTTTTTTTACAATTACCCAAATTTTTATGGGTCTTCCATAAAGAGTTATTCTATTTCTGATAAAAAAAACCATTTATAATATAGTGGGACAATGTTCCAAGGTTGATTTTTTTCATAACAAATAGGGGCTATTTTTCCCGACAGGGGTTTTCGTATAAACAAATTGCAGACCTTAGACGTTTTTATCTACAGAAAAATTCACACAAATCTATAAGGTCAATTTTAGAATAAAAAATTAAGGACCAGACAGGGTTTTTTCGTAAAGAAAATCGCACCAGTATAGAAAAAGTCCTAGTCCGTTCGCAGACCCTTATAAAAAATTTACACAAATCTGCAAGGTCAATTCTTTCGGATCGAAGAAAAAAATCACAGTTCAGACAGAGTTTTTTCTTAAAGAAAAAATCACACCAGTATAGAAAAAATCCTAGTCCGAGAGGGTCCGATTTTTCCGTATAAAAAAAAAAATTACTCAGACCTGCAGGGTCAGAAAACAGTTAACACAGATCCCATTGCAGACCTTTAGCCGCCATTTTTCTATATAAATGGGTTTTTCGTAAAGAAAAAATCAGGACAGTATAGAAAAAAATCATTGTCCGTTAGGGTCAGATTTTTCCCTATAGAAAAAAAAACGCTCAGACCCGCCGGGCTGATTCTATCCTATAAGAAAACAATTCATACAGATTCCATCGATTTGGTCCAACGTTTGCAAATCGCAATACCTCTTCCAAACATATATCATGTGGGTCGATGGGTCCACTCCTTCTGGTACCCCGCCTACGAAGATTAGAAATTCTTAATAATTTGTACAATATCAAGCGAATAGAATGTCCAATTTGCCTCCAAACTTTACACGTCGTAATTTATTTTACCAATCCTAGATCAAGTTCGAATATGAGGCCCATCGGTCCACTCCTTCTTGTTCTTCCCCTACAAAGGTTCAAAATGTTAATAATTTTTTAGTCCAATATCAAACGAATAGAACGTCCGATTTGCCTCCAAAACTTTACACATGGTCATTTGTTTTACCAATCCTAGATCAAGTTCGAAGGTGAGGCCCATCGGTCCACTCCTTGTGGCACCCCTCTACAAAGGGTCATTATTAAAAAAAAAAAACAGGAAATTTCATTTCTTTTCATATTGAATTACAATATGAAAAGAAATGAAATTTCCGATTTGATACAAACAATGAAAATCGTAACACTTTTACCAAACTTAGATCATCATTGACTAGGGGTATACATCTGTCGGCAACAACGACTGACATTTTTTTACTTGTAAAAAATGTTGAATACACAGGGATAATTTTTTATATAGAAACAAGTTATTATCTACACCATGTGTTAAAGGCTTTTAAAGGTTGTACATATGTATGTACATGCAAAAATATACACATCTCAGATCTTTTAGGTTCATTTATTTCCTATAGAAAAAAATCACCATCCCTAGTTTTTCATAGTGTTTAAATAATTGAGGCTACGACAAAAAAAAAATGTTAACAACATCTTAGACAAGTGCCGCTACCAACTAACAAAAGAAAACTTATTACAATAACAAATTGATTTACTCACTATAACAACAACACGAACGGAAAAAATGGCAACGAAGCCAAACGATGACTGAAAGCGACTACTATTCTCTTCATTTGTCGTGTTGTTCACGGGCTAAATCCAAGTGTTGAACATTTACGTTGTGTTTGAACTCAAAATTAATTTAAAATCATTATCTTTGCTCTTCAAATCTGTGTTCAAATAAAAAAAAAACACCAACAATTACATACACAAACAAACAAAATCTCATTTCTATCTCAAATTAAAAAAAAGTGTTAATCTATGAAGACGATATGCAGTGCATAAATTAGTCGTCTGCCTGTCCTATTTTTTCTTGTCTTTTTTTGTTTTTCATTTACCATTTTTTTTTTTTTTAGTTTTGTCTTTTGTTGTTATTTTTATTTTATTTATAAATTGTTGAGATAAAAGTCATTGGTTCGTCCCTACCCCATTAACACTTTTGTTGAACGCAGCACATTACATCTCATGTAATATAATTGTGTTAATTTTATTATTGTTTGTTTTATTTTGTTCAATTAGATGTGGTGTTTAGAGAGACAGTGAAAAAAATGAACATATATATTCAAGCTTTGTGGGTGTGTGTGTAGCCATTCGTGTGTTCCCCATAACCCCAACGACCTTTTTGATGAGAATCGAACCAAAGTTGTGTCTTTGGTGCAATATTTACATGATTTTCAACAATTTCGAAGGGTATTGCCAAAATTTTCAATACATTCGGATAATAAATGCCAGATTGAGGAAGACTGACCGTCATGCTTAGATCGACTCAGAAATCGATTCTCTACATATCCATTATTTGATTAAAATGTGCTATTTTTAAATGGATTGTGTTTGGACCTGCAGAATAATTATCAAGCATTTATTCAGGCCTCTACCCTCTTTTATAGATTGCAACTCGATATTGACATTTTTATATATTTCCATTCTCTTTTATTTCCAACATGCATACTCGTATAATGGCGCCTAAAAGTATGCTTTATATTATAATCATCATCAAACAATATTTTATGAACTAAATTTTCATTTTACGAAGGTTTTGATTAGCATCAAACATGTTTGAAATGATTGTATGAAGGAAGATGAAAAAAAGTTTTTCTAACAAAAAAAAAATCGACCCTTCGGGACTACGATTTTTTTATTTATACCCTATTTTGATTTTCAATGTATCCAAATGAAATGAAATTTGACATAGGTCATTTATTTGGCCTAGTGACGAATTTAGACAAAGGTCATTTATTTGGCCCCGAGACGAACTCAATTGAAATTAGTGAGAATCAGATAAGATTTAGATATAGCTCCCATATATAAATTCCTCCGATTTTATGTAAATGATCAAAGATTTTCTATAGAAAAAAATTGACCCTAAGGGTGTGAAAAGCTAAAAAACTGTCGAAATGAATAAGGAATTCCCCTTTTGACCATATTGTAAAAAAACTGGAAGTTACATCTGTCAATATAAAACATACTATATTGTAATTATTATTAACTATAACATTTGTTTTTGTTACAATGAATAATAAAATAATAAAGCAATGCTTTTTAAAATTCCCAACTGTTTATTTCATATTTTGTATCAAATTTAAAGAGCCCGTTCATATTTTGCGCCTAAAAGTATGCTTTAAAAAGTTAAAATAACATAATCCAGGGAGTTGGCAACACTGCGTCATCTATTGGACGACATAAAATCCAGAAAATCAAATTTGTTAAATGTTTTTCATCATTTTCATCTATTGAAAATGGGGCTGCTGATGATGGGATGTGCTGCTGCTGCTCCCGCCGGCGGGAGCACAACATAATTTTTTATGGAGGAAAAATTGTTTGTATACATACATTTAAAAATTTGTCATTGTTCATCTTTTTTCTCCATTTTTATATACATATATTGTGGTTTGTTTTGTCCAGTATTAAAAATGAAAACAATTGGTACATGTTTTTTTTAAGTACTAAACTATTTAAAATTTTTTATTCGAAAATAAAACCCTCGTTAAATAATAATAATAATTTGCTTTTTTGCGCTGAAATTGTAAACTAAACATACTGTGTGTGTTTTTTGTTTAAACATAACATAACCAATATATTTATATAATTATACAAATGTATTTTTTTGTTAGAATTTTTCCAAAATTTCATTTTCCACAGATAAAAATATATATGTATGTCGATATACATATATTAAAAAAATAATAATAAAAGTAATAATAAAATTTTTAAATAAATTATTAAACGATGTGTTTTTGTTGGTTTTTTGGGTGTGTTTTTTCTTTTTGTTTAAATAAAACATATAAATTGAATAATGGGGTGGGGGTGGGTTGTTGTTGTATATATGTATGTAAATAATATTAATAATAATAAAAATAATAATAAAAAATAAATGTTTTTGTTGTACATTACAAATTTCGATGGTTTGCAATTCTTCCATTGTTTGATTTGTTTGTTTGCGTGCTTTAATTCTTTTGTATTTTTTTTCATTTCTTTACAAATTTGATGATGAATCGACTGCCGATTCCGAGACCATTGTGACATGTTCTCCCACCCTTCGTCCCGAACGAACCTGCATCAACACATTGATTAAATCCAAAATGTGTTCATCGGTAAATTGACACTGTTGCAACAGATTCTTGATCAACTCAAAACGTTCAGCATCATTCTTACTGTGTTTCAAAATATCCGGCAGTTGTTGTACCAAGTTGTTGCGACAACCTGAATTAATTTTCGACTTGGCACAAATATAATCGATAACCGAATTCAAATTCAAACGATCGCACACCACAGAGGATAAATTCTCTTGTACGGCATGATCTAAGAAGTCCTTCGAATGATTTTCCGATAATGTCTCCAATACATTGGTTTTAATTTTCGCATGGGTCTCCATGGCATTCGAAAGGTATTTCGCTACAACATGGGAGGATTTCAATTGTGGTGCATTTTCATTGGCGAAATATTTTTCGAGTATGGTTTCCAACGGGCACTGTTCCAAGACCATATTAATGGCACTGTCCAATGTGAGTTCTTGTGGTTCGGGGTGATTACAGCGATTAGCCTCTGCGGCGCTAGCATTGTGTTGTTCCAAAACTTGGGCATTCTCATCGGAGGTTGTATTACGACTATCATTCCATTTCAAGGAGGTTATACTATCATCCATCATGACACGATCTGTAGATTTATTAGCAGCAGCACCAGTACCGGTATTTGTTGAACAAGAAGGTGCAGCATTTGTGGCGGAACTGGCGGTGTTTGCTGTTGATGTAGTCGAGTTCTTATCAGCCGAAGCAGCAGCTGCATTGGGATCGGCGGTGTTGTTATTGAATTTCTCGATTTCAATTAGGCTGTCTAATTTACTGCGTCTACGCAAAACATGTTTGGCCTCTGAAACCTTGTCCATAATTAAACATCTGGAATGGAAATTGATATTAATTTTGAACACTATATAGAGTATACAATCTATAAAAATGTACCTAAGGTTTTCATTTAAAAAATCGAAACTAGGGCTTCAAAAATTTTTTTATGGAAAAAATAGCCTCTAGGGCTTCAAATTTTTCTTTTTCATGGAAAAAATAGCCCATAGGGCTTTAAGATTTTTTTTTTATAAAAAATAGACCCTGGGGCTTTATTAACTTTTTTCCATCGAAAAAAATAGACCCTAGGGCTTTAAGATTTTTTTCCATAAAAAAATTGCCCCAAGGGCTTCAAAAAAATTTTTTTTTTCTATGGAAAAAATAGTAACCCTAAAAAAATTGACCTAAGGGTCTGCGGTACTATTCCATTGGAAAAAAGATCCTTAGGTCATTTTTTCTATAGAAAAAAATTGAACGAAGGGTCTGCGGATTTTTTTCTATTGAAAAATATTAATCCCGATATTCTGCAATAGTTCTTCTTCTTATAAAAGAGATTATTTTCTAAAAATATATCGAACATACCTCTTCGGTTTAGTTTTTGTCTCATCAGCATCACGAAGATATTCTTTTGTTACCGAAACGGGTGGATCATGGAAACTAACTCGTTTACGTTTAAATGCTGGCGAATCGAAGGATAAATCTTCAATGCTATCATTTCTCAGCTTACGTTTTAAAATGCTTGCCGAAGGGCTGGCTGTGGGTGATGGTAAACGTTTTGAAAATACCAGAAAATCTTTATGTTGTACCGGTGTTGAGGTCTGATCGGTACCGGTTAGCTCCATTAATTCGGCAGCAGGATTACGTTGTTGTGATGGTGTCGACACCGATGATGTTGGATAATTGCTGGGAGATGATGTGGCGGCCGCAGAGATATCAACTTTTTTGTTGCGTATCATATTTATCAATTGGGCACCGCGGCCAGTTAAATGGGATGAAGGTTTGGGTCTCAGTGTGGGACTGCTGCTGTTGTTGGTCAATTTACGATCTGGTGGTGAGGACTAGCAAGGAAAAGAAGAATTTAAAAAATTAAAAATTTAAATATGTATGTATATTTTTGATGTTTATTACCAGGGGTGTAAACCTAGTTGGGTTAGTCTTTTTCGGTGAAACTTCTTTAGTTTGTAAAATTTCTGTTATGGCATTTGTATTTGTTTTATTGAGATCAATCAATTCATTTGATAAGATTTCAACTGTGTTTGGACCAGGTGGTGGTTTCTTGGCGACCTCATCCTTTTTAGCCGCCTCAGGAGCAGCAAGTTTATCTTGGGTTGATTTTTCAGTTTCTTGAGAGAGTTGTGTACTGGACGAGGAGGAGGATGCGCTACTATAAGCTGTTAAGGGTGTTGCAGTGGCAATTACAGTTGCTGGCAAACATTCTGTTGGCAATTGTGTCTCCAACTGTTGTTGTTGCTGCTGTGGTTCAACAATAATATTCTCCTTATCTTTTTCAATTGCTGTTGTTTCATGATCTTCGACAACATCTTCGGTAATTGTGGGTATAATATTAGTGCTGGCTGTTGTTGTGGTTTTGTTTGCAGCATTTTTGTGGGGACCTGTAATAAAACGGAAAAAGAAAGGAGTTATGAAAACATTAGCTGCATTTCTTCAAGTGTAATAACAGTGTGCGTGTGTATGCTACTTGTCGTGTGCATATCTTATCTAATGTTTTGGTGTGAAGAAAAAGAAATGAAAATTATTAAAACTCTCGACCACACATACTTGATATGTTTTCTGTTTGTTGGTGGTGTGGCTTTTCAACAACATTTGATGTTTTTGATTTGTCGCTTGCTGCTGTTGCCGTTGTTTCATCGGCTTTTTTGTTATCGTTTTTGGTGCGCAGACCAGAACGTCGGGTTTGCTGATAAATAAAAAACAAATAAACACATATTATTGTTAGTATGTAATTATGTGTGATTGTGAGTTTGTGTGTTGGCACTTACCCTTCTGATGATACTGTCCTCTGCTGCATTGTCTGTCGCCTTCTTCTCTTTGGGCTCCTCCTCAGCGGTACTGGCCAAAATCGAACGCTTGGAGTTACGTGTGGCACGTGTTACCTCATGTTCATTGGAGGATTTTTTCTCCTCCTCAGCTTCCTTGGGTGTGCCTTGAACTTTACTTTGATTTCTCAGCGAAGATTTCTTACTAACCGGTGTGCTCAGCACTGCCTTCTCGGCATCTATTTTCTCCAAGGGTTCAGCGGTCTCTTCAATGACCTCTTCCGATTCCGGTCCTTCAAGGACAATTTCAGACTTATCTTTCTGCGCAATAACAATCTTTTTCGGTGTCCATGGTTTGAGGGAGACCTCCTGGGATTGACTCATATCATTGTAAAGAGCCGGTATATCAGATTTTTCTGCAAGCTTTTCCTTTTGTCGCTCGGTTAATTTGTCGGGATTATAGCTCCATACGGAAGGTACAACAATGAAAACATCGCTATTACCCTTTACCACTTCTTTCAGCTGTTGGAATAAATCCTTGCTTAAGGTGGTACGTAATTTGTCCATTACCGCCCGCTTCCATTCATCAAGAAACTTATTTTCCAAAACACAGGCATTACCCTTAACATTTAAATTGACCACAGCCGAGAGAATGGCTTTAATGTGGTCAAAATAAAGATTCGCCTCATTGGCTTTAAACCCAGTCAAGATATTGCGCAATGTATTCATACAGGCCTCCAATGGCTTCTTGGGTAATTGTTGCTTCAATATTTCCTGCATTAGGGCGAAAAATTCCAAATGTTGAACACTGTCTTTGGCACATTCCAGCTTCACCACTGCCGTGGTATAGGCATCAAATAGTTCTCCAAAGGCAGATTCCTCATGACGTATTTTCAGTAATTCCTTCAGAACATCGTGTACCTTTGTGATGAATGCACGTCTTTCGGGGGCATTTTGCCCGGCATTAATAAGTTGCCGCCACAGCGAACAAAATGCCGAATCAAAACCATATGTGGACTTGGAGCCCGTAAATCCCACACAAACCTGAACTGGCCATAATATCCAACGTTCCAGTAGCAAGGCGTTTTCTTTAACTCGTACATCCAAAGCATTCTCTTTGAGATGTTTCACAATGCCTTGGGAGACATTGCGCCACACAATCAATTTCGTTTCGAAGGCCTCAAAATCTTCATCATCTTTGATGAGGAAAATTGTGGACATCATCACGTTTAGAGAACGCCATTTGTTGCGTCCTGTGTCCTGTCCCTCCAAGGAGAAAACTTTATCAACACAACGATTTAAAATTGCCGGTGGTACTATGGAACGAGCCGATATAAATAGCTTAGCAAAGCTATCCAATAATTTGGGATACTCTTCTGCATTCTCTGTGGCTTTTTTCAAAACAATACCCTCCGATGCCAGGGTATTGATGGCAATTATAACAACGCGTGGATGATTGGCTTGCATTTTTTGAATCGATGAACAGACATGGATTGTCAGGGGTGCAATATCCTTGCGGAAAGTCATTTGCAGTAGGTGGCGCAAGAGCTGTTGGAACAAATGCTGTTCACCGACATCATTTTCTGACGATTCAGTGGCCTAGAAAATAGAAAATAAAAACGTATTGTTATGATAATTGTGATGTAAAAGAGAAATGCCTACAATTTTACTCCTCACAGTTGGGGGTAATCATTAAAATGTAAACAAAACGCACATGTATTTCGTTTACTTACCATCAAGTGAATGGCATCCAATGCCGCATTGACTACCGACAACCAATGCTTCTCCAACACCTCCAATTCCAATAGAGCCGATGGTGTGTCCATGGCCTCCAATTTATGATCCCTCAAACAACGATCCAAAAATTCATTACGCTCACTTGCCAACAGCTTGGCCATACAAGGTACAGCCAATTCCCTTACCACTTCATATTGTTTGGCCGCACTAACCACCTGTTTACCCGATGCGGCACCACCAAAACAAAAATGCAGAAATGGTTCCACAACACTTTCGAAATTATTTCCCAATTTATTACCGAAGCGAGTCAACAAATACCACCACACTCGCAGCTTAACTTCAGCAGCTTGGGCGGATTTCGATTGGGAACTCTTTAGGGGGATACAAATTAGCTTCAAACGTTTCGGCGATGACAGTTCATCGTATTTGGCAAATATTTCGATCAGTAAACGCCAACACAGAAACGACTCAGCCCGAATGGTGTTATCTGTACTGCGAAAACCCAATTCCACAATGGCCAAGAAGGCGTTTATTGTACTTGCACCCTTCAGCAGTTCCTTATCAAGTATACGTATCATGTAACCCCATACCCGATGCCAGTGGGGGTTACGTTCCTCACGCAATTTGTGGATTTTTGGTGCCTGTACACTGGCCAGCGACGCCTTCAGGGCCGGCCACTCTTTGCTGTTGTGTATGGTCTGGACATCCATTGAGGTGAGGCCCTGTTCAAAGGCTTCCACCGCCTTGGTCTGTATGGCACGGTCTGTGTCGAACATCAACGCCAAGATGTCCGATAACCAAAACTGTATCATTTCATCGCTAACAATTTTACTACCTACCAAACCCGTTGTCTTGCAGGTGCTCGTCAATAAATCCAACATCTGCAAGAAGAAAAATCAAACAAAAAAAAAAAAATAATTTAGTGGTCATCACAAATTTTGCATTTCACAATGAGGCCTGCCTGCCTCATCAAGCTAGCCAGTTTAGTCACAAGTCTCAAAACGAAAGTAGAACAAATATGCTGCCCCAAGTAACGACAGAACAAAAACTACAAAAACTTGTATACGTACGCTACAATACAAATGGCGTTGGTTATTCTTGAGAATTTCTTTCGAAGAACAATAGACTCCATAATATGCCTGACTTAATTCTGATTCCATTTTGTTGTCGTGTGTGTGTTTTGTGTTGAATTTTGTACTTTCGGTGTCTTTTTAAGTTAAGAAAAAGTAAAATTAAAGTTGTAAAAACTTTTCCCGTTTTTCTTTCTTCTCTAGCGAATTCCGTTCTTTTTTTCTTCTTTCTCCTGTTACAACTATAATACAACACTCTTCAGCGCGCCAATTTACTAAATATATCGCAAAAAGAGTTGCCACAATGTGACAGACGGCAGAAAGCCCGCCTAAAAACATATGATTGGCAGAGCTGCATGAGTGTCAATATAAATGCGGTGTAGTAGTTGCGTTCCCTTTTATATAGGAATGTTTATAATATGAATAACGAATTTTTTGAGAAAATGGTTTAAAAAAAATTATATTCATTTAGAAAATTACATCGTTTAATAAAATGTGAAAGTGAAATATATTTTTGTAATATGAAATTGTGACGAAATTTGTCCTCCTTCAATATTTGCAGTTATTATGAATGTACAGATGGCTATTGGAATTATGAACCCCCTTTAAATGTGTAGGACATTTTATACCAATATTAAAGCTGGAGACTATGAAAATTATTATAAATAAGACGATCGGTACGTAAACACCCTGTGTTTGTGTCAAGGCTTTTTTTATAGGGGAGATTTGATACAAAGCAACGATTTAGCACTTTACAATAGACCACGCTATGGGAATTGTGAACCTTCTTAAATTTGTAGGAAATTGTATAGAAATGTAAAAGCCATTAATTGATTATTACACATAAACACCCTATGTTTGTGTCAAGGCTTGGTAGATTTAATAAGGTTGTCACAAATGGTCTGGAGAGAAAAAATATTGGGGTTGAACTGCTCGGCATTGCCAGTCAGGATGTGTCTTATACGCTAAGAAAAAAAATTATCAGCTTTAGAAAATTCAGCTGAAACTTTCAACATATCGAAAGTGTGGCAGGACCTTTTTATGGGGGTATGTCAAAACAAGAGTTCAGCAAGAGGCGCGAATTAAAAGAAAAATGATAAACGATATTTACGATATTTTTTGACTGAATTAAAGATTAAAATCATGTGCTTTATGAAATCTTTATGCATGCAGTAAAAAAATGTATTTGTGTCACCCTGTAACATTTAACGCCTTTCAAAGTGAAAAATATTTTTCAACGCCGCCAACATATAAATGTCATTGTGTTACAGCTAGGGATGCGTAGTCGAGCACAAAAGTCGACCTTTATGGGCTAAACAGAGTGTTCGAGTTGAGCGTTTTATGTTATCGCGTTAACGCACGCAAAAACGCAACGGATGGCTCAACGCGAACATTCCGGTTAGCCCTTTAGACTTTTCGGTTTTTGCGTCTGACCTGTCAAGAGTGCCATTCAAAAGTGCTAGTGTGTACACCGCTTTAGACTTTTCAATACAAAAAGTCGATTAATCGATTAGTCGAAAGTCGATTTACTTATCCCTAGTTACAGCGCCGTCAATTGTTAACTTCAGTACAGCTCGGTTCTCTGCTACGTTCTGATTGAAATGAGTAATATTATTTATGTTTTATAACATAATTTCGATTAGTTTTTATATTTGTACGTATTAACGATGAAGTATAGCTGTTGTGTATTAATTTGAAAATATACTGAGTGTGTGTGTGAGATTCCAGCAACTAAATGTTATCTATGGAATAACGAACGCTGCTGATTTCTTTTGGAGAAAAAAAAAAACACGAAACGTCAAGAAACTTATGCTGCATAATAAAATAAAAAGATAAAAAAGAGGAGTAGTGGCACAGCACAGCGAGCGCGGTGAACGACAACAACGACGTTGACGACGACGAAGAAGAAGAAGAAGGCGACGGTGTGTGTGAGAGGTGGACGTACAGAAGAAGAAGTCTCAGCAATTTTGTGGTGGCTGGTGGTTGTGTGTGTGTCGTGACGTGTAAATCCCAAATAGTGTTTTGCCAAAAAGGTATTTCCAACAAAAAAATAGTGCAATCAATGATAAAATTCTTATAGAAAGAACAACGAAAATTAAACAAAATACTGTGGCTGCCAATAATTACATTTTGGTATAGAGTGAAATGTAATCGAAATGTGAAGAAAAGAAAGCATATTTGGTTATCGTATTTCTTGGAAGCTTATAATGTGCTTGTCATTCACATCTCACCATCTCAGCCACAACAACGAAATGCAACCAGAAAAAAAATGTATAAATTGTTTTCGGTTCGGTTCTCTGAATGGTGATAAAGGAGTAATAAAAAAACTCAAAACGATATCTAATTCAAGCAACCATCCAACCAACTTTGTATTAAATGCATGCCGGAAAAGGTTTCTTCTCTTCTTTTGATAGCAGCAGCAAAGAAAATGAGAAATGATTGCGACAAAAAAAGAATTTAATTTGTTTTTGGATTTCTGTCAAAGATCCATTAAAGTTGTTATTGAACTGCAAATGCTTGAATTGTTGTTGTTGGGTAGTATTTTGCTACTTCAAAAAAACAAAAAAAAAACTTTGAAACTAATGAAATTATTGGCAGAGCAGCAGCAAAAGTCAATCAGACACTGAAGGTGGATAATGACGTTGACGACGGTGGTGGCGGCATCGTTGTTGGTGTATGAAGTACTACTACTGCTGATGATGATGATCACGCCCAACTTGTGTTATTTTCTCTGTTTTATTGATGTTCTCTTTTCTCTTTTTCATATGCTTTGGCTTCTAAACATTTTTATGCTGTTTGTGTATGGCTTTCAAATGTTAAATCACAGGGAAACAAAACCGAAAAAACAATTAAAGTTAATTTTTGTGTTTATTTTAGGTTACGCATCGTTTCATAGGCAAAATACCAACAAATCTAGATAATGGTTAATTGTATAACTCTCACTCACTGTGCCCCGCACTCTCTCACATTGTGTTAATTAAAACATAACAATTCGACTCGGTCTCTCCTCTCTTTCTCTCATAAATAACTCTACAAGAAATGTCATCGTATCCCATTTTTTCTCCTATTGTGTAAACAAATTAATTATAACCATTGGCTTAATAGTAATTTCCATTAGATATTCCTCTCTTCCCCTTTATTGACTTTCTTTCTCATATATCAATCACATATTTGTTATTGTAATTTACTTCAAATGGAGATTTACTCATACGATTACTTTCTCCCTGCTGCTGTGTGCCATCTATTCTCTCTCTTGTTTTTTAGCACCAAATGTCAATGATGTCTGCTGCTGACTGTCTGTAAATGTAAACAACAGCTGTGAACATTCATCGACTAGAAGTTTTCTTAGACAAAAATTCTTTTGAATAATTGTGTAAATTATTTTTTTATTTTATTTGAAATTCCTTTCATTTGGGGAAAAAAACTAAAGTAGATTTATTTATTTACTTGTGCAACATCAGATGCGACCAAGTAAATATTTTAATTTCAAATTTGTTCATGCTCTGGACATCATGTAGAAAAATTTTTCTGTCAGAAAAAATTCCAGTTTTGTTCAACCATTTCAACGAAGGGGAGGTCAGTTGTGAAAATTTAAATATTTAATGGTAAAAAATTAAATAATTTCTTTTTTATATAGTTTTACTGTCAATAGGAATTGGAATTGTTTTGATGGTTTCCAGATGTAGCTTCCAATAACGACAAGAAGCTGAATTGTTAGAAAATAATATATAGATCAGCAGTAGTGTGAAAATGGGAAATTTATATGAAAATAATTTATGGACAGAATTCTAAAAATATGTAATTTTTCAAAGATTTTAATACATGGCTCTAGTTTTATATGAGTATTATATGAGTTCCATATATAGAAGAAGAGATCACATGTGAGTTTGAGAACTATTATGGATTGGTAACTATGAACTTATTTGAAAATTGGAAGTGTGTAAAATTTAATATATTTTCATGATATTACCTTCTAGAGAAAGTTATTGGAATATTTCAAGATTCAGTTTTTGTAAATGGATCAGCAAAGCAGAGAAATGGGAATTATATAAAATAGTATTGTGGAAAAGATAGAGCTAAATAAGTATCGAACATCTTGCGTCGTTATTAGCTCCGTCATCATCATCATAATATTACGAGCATAAGGGATTTATCCCCTATCAAAGTGTGCAGTCTAATACTATTAGTGATCAATTCAGTCTATATGACGTAGCACCTACCGTTGAAATATTTTATAAAATTGGCTACTTTCATTTAAAAAGGATCAGTTTTAAATTTTTGTGACTAGTAACGATAATAATCTGGTTTGGTAACTACAGTCAATAGGATCGCGGAAATTACTTAGCTGGCTTGTGACAGAACTTTCGTTCCATAAGCCGAGCTTAAAAAAGATTTCCAGGCGCCTCGGTCTTTTGCGCAGTCTGTCCAATTTGAAAGACCATATTCGGCAAAGTAGTCTTCCACTTGGTCTTTCCATCTTTTTCGTGGTCTTCCCCTTCTGCGTGAACCATCAGCTGGTTCGCTTTTATATGCCTTCTGGGCTGGGGCATCTTCATCCATTCTCACAACATGACCTAGCCAACGTAGTTGCTGCAGCTCAATACATCTAACAATGTCAATGTCCGAGAATAGCTGGTACAATTCATGGTTCATTCGACGGCGATATTCACCATCAACGTAGATCGGCCCATAGATCTTTCGGAGAATTTTTCTCTCAAACACTCCAAGAGCTGCCTCATCTGCTTGCGCAAGTACCCATGCTTCAGATCCATATAACAGCACGGGTAGTATCAGCGTCTTGTAGAGTGTGAGTTTAGTCTGGCGGGAGGTGGCCTTGCTTTTGCGTTGTTTGCTCAGACCATAGTAGCATCTGTTGGCCATCACTATCCTGATGTCATTCGTTTTGTTTATGGCGGTACCAAGGTATATAAAACCTTTGACTACATCGAAGCTGTAGTTCTTAAGTTCCACAGTTGGTCCGAGTCCACTGGACGTCTTGCGCGTTGATACCATCAGCTTGGTTTTCTCGCCGTTTACTGTCAGACCCCACTTTGGCAGACTCCTTCTCAATTTGTTCAAAGGTGGTTGTTGATGCTCTCAGTGTTCGACCCATTATGTCGATGTCATCGGCGTAGGCGAGTAACTGGTGTTGTTTGGTGAACAGAGTGCCATTTCGGTTCACTTTTGCCTCTAGTATGACCTTTTCCAGCAGGATGATAAAAAGGTCACACGACAAACTGTCACCTTGTCTAAATCCTCGTTCGTTATTAAAGGGCTCCGAGAGGTCCTTTCCGACTTTAACTGCTGCTCTTGTGCCAGTTAAAGTTATCCTGCATAGCCGTAATAATTTTGCAGGAATGCCAAACGCAGACATGGCTTTAGACACCTTTGAACGGATAGGGCTGTCGAATGCAGCTTCACAGTCGACGAATTGGTGGAATGTGTCGATGTGCTTTTCGTGCGTTTTTTCCAGGATTTGGCGAATTTGCCATTTCGAGTTATAAAGGAATACATATACTGAATTCTGAAGCCTTGTTGTTAAAATGTTCATTTGTTGTCCAATCTCAAAGACCCATTTTAGCCAATTTCAATTTAACCCAATTTACATTTGGTCATGGCCTCCCTCTCCCCCACTTTTTGTTTGTTTGTTAACCATATTAATTAAAAATTAGCCGTTAGATTTGACATTATCTATGTTTGTTGTGTGTTACCCCTCCATAAAAAACACCAAAAATTTGTCTAATAAATTCCTCATTATGAAATCGATAATTTTTCTACAATGTACACCGGAATTTAATCAATCATCAGTTGGTCAATATACTTCCGTTTTATTTTGTTATATTAGTTATTTTTACTTTTTTTTTTGAGTATTTTATAATATTGTCATATAGACGTATTGAATAATATGGCCAATGTTGGCTGAGTTGCTGCTATGTAAACATTACGTCAACAATGCCCCCCGGTCGCTACATATTGAATTAATGCGAGCACAGCCACAGTGACTTTTGGGGTGGCAGAGGTGGTGGTGCTGGTGGCTCCATGCAAACGAACTTTGTTTAAAGTAATGTCACGTTTTACTGTAAATTCTATAAATTCTTAATATGGTCATTATTCAAAATAAAGAAACAAACCATAAAAAGAAAAATAGCAGAATTTACTCTATAATAAATTATTATATAATCATTTTTGTTTATTAGAAAGGGTAATCAATTTGAACAAAAATTTGCTATGATTGATTGCATAGATTTAGATTTTTTTTAAAATATTTTTTTCAAATAGTAGACAAGGCATGTATTTCAAAAGCAATTTTTTTTCTAGTCTAGGCTCAAGGACGAACCCTATTGAAAGTGGGAAAAATCGGTTCTCTATTTAGATATAGCTCCCATATACATTTTCATCCGGTTTAATGTAAATGATGCACCAAAGTCCCTTAATAACTTTCGGTTTGCACGAAATTTGGCACAGCGTATTGAATTAGGTCTAAAATTATGTGTGTTAAGTTTCCTGAAAATCGGTTCAGATTTCATTATAGCTTCTATATCTGAGCAAATGAAAAATCGGTTTCAGAATTACATGTTTATGGATTCAATTTCATTTTACTGGTCCTCTAAAAATGCAACATCAGTTTGGATTCATCTGTTGAATATACCCAAAGTGGTGAAGGGTGTCATATAGTCGGTCCCTCCCGACTTTCCTACTTTCCTTACTGGTTTTCTATTGTCGACAGGGATTTTTCATATTTTTTTTTTAATAAATTCATTTTTTAATATAAAAATGAATTAAAAGCCAATGTAATATTGGCATGCGTTTTATTGCACCTCCCACCCCTCGCCACACACCACCCATCATTGTAATCTTAGAACATTCCAATATGCTGTTGAATGTCATCGGCGGAATAAAACTGGTTTCTAATAATAAATTTCAAACTCACTACACTCTAATATTAAATAAATATTTCTCATACATTATTAAAAAAAAACAAAATAATACTAATTCCCTTTTCTCCTCTTCATTTGCAGATTAAGCTCAAATCCATTGATGCATTGTCGCTGTCGAAATGGGGAAATTACTTTCGAAAATTTTTGGTAACAAAGAAATGCGCATTTTAATGTTAGGACTGGATGCAGCAGGCAAAACAAGTGAGTACAAAAATTAATACACCTCGCAGAGATCGATTTTAATAATTCAATGCTCGTTTTTTATTTCTCCAGCTATTTTATACAAATTAAAATTGGGTCAATCTGTGACCACAATACCCACGGTTGGCTTTAATGTGGAAACAGTTACCTATAAAAATGTCAAATTCAATGTCTGGGATGTTGGTGGACAAGATAAGATAAGGCCACTGTGGCGGCACTATTATACTGGTAAGAAGTCAAATATACCAAGACGAAGAAGAAGAAGAGGCAGTGGCAAAGACGATGACAAAAGATCAAAAGCCCCAGTATTGCTTTGCAATTAATTGAATTCCATCCATACGAATAATTCAATTCATAATTGCTGTGCTGCATATTGGCTTTAGTTATTGTGTTTTGTTTTTTTCATTTACTGCCTGCCTCATTTCCGAAGGTCAAATATGAAACTATGATAATACTGAGTATTTATTTATTATTTTTGTTTCGTTTATTTTTTCCCATTTATGTGATCTGTGTTTTGTAATTGTTTTCATTTTTCTATTTATTATAGGTACGCAAGGTCTTATATTCGTTGTAGATTGTGCGGATCGCGATCGTATCGATGAAGCGAGAACAGAATTACATCGAATTATAAACGATAGGGAAATGCGTGATGCCATTATTTTAATATTTGCTAATAAACAAGATTTAGCGGATGGTAAGTTTTCGAAACATTTATTTTATACTCAAACTATATCAACTGTAATCATGTGAGTGTGTGCTAGTCAACACTCTGTTTAGACTCTCTCCAGCTGATAAGCTGATGAGAATTATGGTTCATTCATCCGTTCGTTATCAACAGTTTTTTATGGCCCATAAGCAGACATGTGTGTTTGGTGGTGGCGGGAGAGTCAGTAGCGCCAGTAAAAAAAAAATAGTAAATTGCAAACTTTATTTTCGATTACATAACTCTCGGCACACAATAAGCATTTACCTCATTGTGATGCTGATAAGCTAAAAATAGATTGCCTTTCTCTTTTTCAAATAGAGGTAATCTTTGTTGATTGTGAGAAGGTGACAGGTTTTAATTAAATCAATTACGGACCTTCTCTAGGGGTATTATTTAGATAAAATATTTTTAAGAGATCTATATGTCGAAGAACCTCCTTTTCGATCTTCAGGATGTGTTTCATAGGTAGAATCACCCCAGTAATTCTTCTATAAATATTAATTCTATGGAACAATTTTCAAGTAGTTAACAAGGTGTGGATTTTTTAAAAAAATATTTTTTTTTTCAAATAGTTAAAAAGGATTTTTTAAAAAGATTTTTTTAAAAAATACTAGCAAAGTGCCAGCTATTCCGTATTCGTACACATAAATTGGAGTTTCCAAAGTTTTTTTTCCATAGCTCAATACTACATTTCAAAAGTAATCTAAATTCCAAATCTCTGAATTCTACCAAATCCAAATTGTTCCAAAGTTAGTACTTTTCATACTCATAAGTAAGAATTTCTAATACAACATCAATTCTATACTCTAACAGTAATCTAAATTCCACCAAAGTCCAAATTGTAACAAATTTAGAACTTTTCGTACAAATTTTCAAATATACCTCAATCCTGGTTTTAAATAGTAATCGTAAGTCCAAATGTAAGAATTCCAGCTCTGTCGGTTCACTAAATTGTACCAGATTTCTGTACATTTCCTACACTCCCACAGTAACTTAAGTTGCAACTTTAAGGATTCGAGTTCTACCCGTTCACCAAAATCCGAATTGTACTAAATTTAGTACCATTTAGTACTTTTCGCACCATAAGCACGAATTTCCCAAACTACCGCAATCCTACACTCCATTTTAATTGCCAATTTAAAGACATCAACTCTATCTGTTCACCCAAATCCAACATGCACCAAATTTAGTACCATTTAGTACTTTTCGTGCACATAAGAATGATTTTATAAAGCTACCTCAATCCTGTACTACAATAGTAGTCCTAATTCCGATTTTCAGGCTTCCATTTCTATACATTCAACTAAATGCAAATAGTACCAAATTTAGTACAATTTTGTACTTTTTATACACATAAGTACGAATTTCTTAAACTTTTTTTATACATCAACACCACTTCCCAACCTTTATTCCATTTAACATTTCAAGATTCTAATTTTATATGTGCAATATATATACAATAAGAACTAAATTTAGTACATTTTAGTACAATTTTCAAAAACCCTTTTGTACAACTTTATAACTTTCCAGGCTACCATATTTGGTACATTTTAGTACTTTTCGTGCCCTCACCCAAAATTTCAAGCTTCAGCCGTTTCGTCTGGGCGATGATCAGTCAGTCACACAGTCACTCACTTATTTAACACTAAGCTCTTTTATATATTAAGATTTTTTCAAGTTATATCAAGCCGTAGATTTAAAAAAAAAAATCTGTTATGACACTGTGGTACAGGGTATTATGTCTTTGTGCATATGTTTGTAACACGCAAAAGAAAACGAGATAGACACATGGTTCCTTTTGGCATAGGTCAATTATTTGGCCCAAGGACGAACCGTATTGAAATTGGAAAAAATCGGTTCGGATTTAGATATAGCACCCATATATATTTTCGTCCGATATAATGTAAATGGTTTAATGTAAATTGTGAAAAGTCCCTATATATCTTTCGATTTGTACGAAATTTGGATCAGCGTAATGAATTAGGTCTAATATGGTGTGTGTTAAGTTTCCTGAAAATCGGTTCAAATTTAGATATAGCTCCCATATATAGTTTCGCCCGATTTTAAGTAAATATTGCACTAAAGTCCCTGAAAATCTTTTGATTTGCAGGAATTTTGACATAGCGTACTGAATTAAGTCTAGAATACTGTGTGCTAAATTTCGTGAAAATCGGTTCAGATTTAGATATAGCTCCCATATATATTTTCGTTCGATTTTAGGGAAATAGTGCTCCAAAGTCCCTATATATCTTTCGATTTGCACGAAATTTGGCACAGCGTAATGAATTAGGTCTAGAATGATGTGTGTTAAGTTTCGTGAAAATCAGTTCAGATTTAGATATAGCTCCCATATATATTTTCGTCCGATTTTAGGGAAATAGTGCACCAAAGTTCCTATATATCGTTCGATTTGCACGAAATTTGGCACAGCGTAATGAATTAGGTCTAGAATGATGTGTGTTAAGTTTCCAGAAAATCGGTTCAGATTTAATTATAGCTTCTATATCTGACCAAATGAAAAATTTAGTATCGGTTGAAGAATGACATGTTTATGGATCCAATTTCAATTTTACTGATCCTTTAAAAATGCATCGTCTGTTAGGATTCATCTGTTGAATATACCCAAAATGGTGAAGGGTATCATATAGTTGGCCCCGTACGACTTTACTACTTTCCTTACTGGTTTAAATATGTTTTTTTTTTTCAAATATTTAAAGAAATATTTTTTCTAAAATTTTTTTCCAAAATATTTTTTTCAAAGATTGTTTAAAAAAATATTTTTTTTAATAATTTTGAGTCTTCTAATGTGCAAAGTATTACTTGGCACACTGTATCGACAGAAATCATTATTGAATTTCAATGTTTGATGACTTTGAACGATAACCACCATCCACTTTCAGTGATGCAGGTTATGAATGTTTGTTTAATAAATATTTTCAATATGTATTGAATAAATACAAATAATTTTAATTGCAAATTAAATATTGACTTTTTTCAAACCCTAATTCTAATTCTAACTAATTCTCCTTATTTCTCTTCTTCTTCTTTTCCAGCAATGAAACCTCATGAGATTCAAGAAAAATTAGGTTTAACTAGAATACGTGATCGCAATTGGTATGTGCAACCTTCCTGTGCAACAACCGGTGATGGCCTATATGAGGGCCTGACGTGGCTTACATCCAATCACAAGTTATGAGAATAATTTTCATAAAAAAAAATTAAAATTAAAAACAAAACACACACAAAACAATAAAAAAATTGGGAATAAATATAAATAATAACCACAGCAACAACAACAAAACCACTACAGAAAAATACAATAACAAATATACCGTATGCATGTTTTTATTTGAAATATATAGAGGAAGAAAAATAAAATACAAAAAACAAAATGATAAAAAACAACGTTAAAGAAATACAAATAAAACAAAAAAACACGTCAATCAAACCAAAATGTCGTAACGATTTTAAAAAACGACAACAACAACAACAACAATAGAAGTTCGTGCGTTTAATTTTCTTTTGGAAATCTATTTTTTGCAATTTCTAGTGAAGAAAAATTACAACAAATACTTACGAACAGAAACAGAGGAATTCTAAAACAACAAAATACACCACAACAAGAAGACAAACAACAACAACAACGTTTATTTAGCATTTAAGTGAAACAATTTGTAAATTTATTATAAACAAAAAACAACAACAAGAAAACCCAATTAAAAACAAAAGAAAACAAAAATCATTCACAATAATATGGCACACAAAACGGAAACACACACACACACATTTACAGACAACGCAAACAAACATTTACATTCGAACAACAATAGATTATTGAAAATTTGGCATACCATTTCCCCCTCTAATTCCTCTTTACCATCCCTCTCCGACCCCCTCCCCCATTCTTCTCAAACACAATCCCCTCTTTCAATTATGAATGAAAAATAAATAAAAACAAAATCTAAAATAAAAAAACACAAGGATATGCAAAATCCTATAAGTAACTAAAAAGTATATGCATATATTATTATTAAAAATATAGTAAATATTATTATTATTATTTACCTTTATTATTATTATATATTATATTTTTTTGTTTAGATGTAAACTTTAAGTTTTTTTTTTAAAGACGACTTGTTTTAACGAGTCCTTAAAAAACAAATTAATTTAATATAATTAATTGATTCAAATATAAAAAAAAAATATTAATTATTAAAGAAAGCAAATAAAAAATATATAGTGTGAAAATAAAAATTATGTAATTTAAACAAAACAAAAAACAACAACAAGCATCAAATATAAAAAAAAGGAAAAAAGAAAAACAAAAAGAAAAAAACAAACAAAAACAAATCTATTCAAAAAGTTTGAATAAAACCAAGAAAAAAAAAAATAAATAAAAATCCAAAAAAATAAAAATGAATGATTTTTTATTATTAAATAGAGAAAGGAGGGGTTCTTCAGAAATTCCACTGCGGACTTTAAGGAAATACTTTCAGACCAAGGCGTGGATTTTTTTAAAGGAAGACTTTTTTCAAGTCAAACCAAGCCTTTTTTGATTTTTTATCTGATTTTTAAATTAAGACTTTTTTCAAGCCAAACTAAGGCCTGGATTTTTTAAAGGATTTTTTTTTCATGGACCTCAACAAGGCGTGGATTTTCTAAAAAAGTTTTTTTTTCAAGGACCTCAACATAGCGGGGATTTTCTAAAGGATTTTTTTCAAGGACCTCAACAAGGCGGGGATTTTTTAAAGAATATTTTTTCAAGGACCTCAAAAAGGCGTGGATTTTTAAAGGAATTTTCTCAAGAACCTCAAAAAGGCGTGGATTTTTTAAAGGACCTAAACAAGGCGTAGATTTTTTAACGAATATTTGTTCAAGGACCTAAAGGCGTAGATTTTAAGGACCTAAACAAGGCGTGAATTTTCTATAGGATTTTTTGAAAGAAATTTTTTTGCAAGGACCTAAAGGCGTAGATTTTAAGGACCTAAACAAGGCGGGAATTTTCTATAGGATTTTTTGAAAGAAATTTTTTCAAGGACCTCAACAAGGCGTGGATTTTTTAAAAGAATATTTTTTCAAGGACCTCAACAAGACGGGAATTTTTTAAAGAATTTTTTTTCAAGGACCTTAAAAAGGCGTGGATTTTTTAAAGGAATTTTTTTCAAGAACCTCAATAAGGCTTGGATTTTTTAAAGGAATTTTTTCAAGGATCTCAACAAGGCGTGGATTTTGTAAAGAATTTTTTTCAACGGCCTTAACAAGGCGAGGATTTTTTAAAGGAATTTTCTTCAAGGACCTCAACAAGGCTTGGATTTTTTAAAAGATTTTTTTAAAGGACCTCAAAAAGGCGTGGATTTTTTTTAAGGACCTCAACAAGGATTTTATAAGGGAATTTTTTCAAGGACCTTAACAAGGCTTGGATTTTTTTTAAAGGAATTGTTTTCAATGACCTCGACAAGGCCTGGATTTTTTAAAGGAAGACTTTTTTTGAAGACAAAGCAAGGCATGGAATTTTTTAAAAGAATATTTTTCAAGTGAAACCATGGCGTGAATTTTTTAAATGAATCTTTTTTCAATTCTAACTTACGTACTTAGCTGGCTTGTGATAGAAGTTTCATTCCATAAGCCGAGCTTAAAAAAGATTTGCGATGTTTTTCCAATTTGAAAGAACATATTCGGCAATGTTGTCCTCCACTTGATCTTTCCATCTTATTCGTGGCCTTCCACTTCTGCGTGAACCATCAGCTGGTTCGCTTTTATATGCCTTTTGGGCTGGGGCATCTTCATCCATTCCCACAACATGACCTAGCCAACGTAGTCGCTGCAGCTCAATTTGTCTAACAATGCCGATGTCTGAGAATAGCTGGTACAGCTCATGGTTCACCGTCAACGCAGATCGGCCCATAGATCCTTCGGAGAATTTTTCTCTCAAACACTCAAAGAGCTGCCTCATCTGCATGCCTAAGTACCCATGCTTCAGATCCATATAATAGCACGGGTAGTATCAACGTCTTGTAAAGTGTGAGTTTGGTATGGCGGGAGGTGGCCTTGTTTCTAAACTGTCTAGTAGTAGCACCGGTTGGCCATCACAATTCTTTTTCCGAATTTCAAAACTGATGTCATTCGTTTTATTTATGGCGGTACCAAGGTATATAAAATCTTTAACTTCCTCGAAGCTGTAGATCTCAAGTTCCACAGATGGTCCAAGTCTTGCGTCTGGACGTCTTGCGCGTTGATACCATCAGCTTGGTCTTCTCGCCGTTTACTGCCAGATCCACTTTGGCAGAGTCCTTCTCAATTTGCTCAAAGGTGGCTGTTACCGCTCTCAATGTTCGACCCATTATGTCGATGTCATCGGCGTAGGCGAGTAGCATTTTTTGTTGTGTACAGAGTGCCATTTCTGTTCACTTTTGCCTCTCGTATGACCTTTTCCAGCGGGATGTTAAAAAGATCACACGACAAACTGTCACCTTGTCTAAATCCTCGTTTGGTATTAAAGTGGTCCGAGAGGTCCTTTCCGACTTTAACTGCTGATCTTGTGCAAGTTAAAGTTATTCTGCATAGCCGAATTAATTTTGAAGGAATGCCAAACGCAGACATGGCTTTAAACACCTCTGAACGGATAGGGCTATCGAATGCGGCTTTATAGTCGACTAATAGGTCGAATGTGTCGATGTGTTTTTAGTGGTTTTTTCTTCTAGGATTTTGCACAAAGTGAAAATCTGGTCAATGGTTGACTTCCCAGGTCTGAAGCCGCATTGCTATGGTCCAATAATGTCGTTGACCATTGGCTTCAGTCATTCACACAGTACGCTGGATAGCACTTTATATGCGATGGGAAGCAGACTTATTCCTCTATAGTTGGCACATATCGTCTTGTCTCATTTTTTGTGCACGGGACACATGATGCTGAGGTTCCAACCATTGGGCATGCTTTCATCTAGCCAAATTGTACATGCTCCTGACCAGCATCTCACCATCACCAGTCTTGAATAGTTCGGCTTGTAAACCATCGGCCCCTGCTGCTTTATTGTTCTTGAGCCGAACCATTGCTTTTATGACCTCATCTTGGCTAGGTGGTATACACTCTCTACTGTCATCTATTATTGGTTCTGGGGTATCTTCTTAACCGCCACTATTTATATCAGAAGTTTTTCAAAATGCTCCTTCCAGATCCTAAGCACGCTGTCTGTATCTGTCACCAGTTTTCCTTGTTCATATCTACAAGAGGATGTGCCTGTACCAAAACCTTCGGTTTGGTGTTTTACCCGTTGGTAGAATTTTCTGACTTCATTCTGACTCCTGTACATCTCGATTTGCTCACGCTCACGTTTTTCTTGTTCTTTCTTCTTTTTTTCTGAAAATACGTTTCTCTTCCCTCCTTTTCTCCCGATAATTCTCCATCACATTACGTGTTGCTACTGTCTGCAGGGTTGCCCTATACGCTGCAGCATTACAACATTCCTGGTCGTACCATGGATTTCTTGATGGTGGTTTTTGGTACCCAAGGGTGGCTTTTCCTGCAGTTTGTAGGGAGTGGGCAATTCTTTGCCATTGTGCTTCTATACAATTATCGGGACAAGAAGTGCTTTCGTCAAGCAGGTGGGTAAGTTGAGCGGAGTGGGCTCTGCTACCTGTTGTGTTTGCAGCTTTTCGACGTCGATTTTCCGTGTTACATTAGATCGCACCATGGCTACTACATTAAGACGAGTGCGAACCTTGGTTTCTTTTTTGTTGCGGGCAGGTCAGTGTCCACAATTGAGATGAAAGAGGGATCAATATAAGCCTGGGCTTCGCCATGTTAAAGCCAATCAGAGCCGTTGCTTGGTATCTATCATCTCCTACGTCACCCTTTCAAGTCAAACCAAGCTGTGAACTGTTTAAAGGAAGATTTTTTTCCACTCAAAACAAGGCGTGGATTTTTTAAAGGAATAATTTTTTAAGTCAAGTCAAAATTATTTGAGCCAGACATCGTTGTTTTTACTGTATTTTAATAAAATGTGATTTTAATTAATTCAAAATTGATAATGGATTGCAAATATTAAATAAAAACAAATTAATAAATAATTAAAATTAAATTTCAAAATTTATTTTTAATGAAAATGTTAGCACAATTTTGATTATTTATTTGAAAATTTTCGAGGAATAATGTTGTATCAGAACGTAATATTTTGGATCCCGATTTATCTATTATATGTTGGCAGCACCACTACTGTACTGGTAAGTCAAAAAATATGGACTGAGTGCGATTGTGATTGATTAAAAGAACCTTTTTAAATTCCTAAAACATTTCCAGGCAGCCCAGCAAAGACGCCGTCCCTTCGAAATACGATTTCATAATATTGTGTGTAATGTTTCGGCCGGCATCGCACGCGACATACATTGTGATGTGACAAAATTCGCCACCAGCAGATATCACGTCAATGCCGAATTTACGCTGCAAAAAGAATTGCCCAGGACCGCCTTTGCTGAAATGTTGATAACTTTCCGATATGTCGGCGATACGAGAATACGGAAATTTCTGACAATGAAAATGAATATTTGCGATATCCTAAGTCACATCGATTCATTTCCCCTGATACAAATGATAATGCGTTCGTTAACCAGTTCCAGTAATTTGCCGCTATCGTGTCCGGTAAAGGTGGTGGGTTGAAAAAGTGTTCTTATTTTTCGGATCTCTTTTCATTGCTGATTATTTTTTCAATTTAATTTTGGATTTTTTTAGAATTTTACATACAAAATTAAGGACCTGCCCGTCACCGATGCCTTTTTCCCACCCTACACGCAGACAATTGATTTCAATTTTACTTTGAATTTTATGAACAAAAAGACATGGTTGGCTGAATTTCGCCTGGAAGGAACCACGTTAAGGGATACAAAAAAGGGCTAAATGCGGCAGGGAAAGGATTAAGGAAATACATTTTTTTAAATATCAATTTTAAATTAAATTTAAAGTAAATATTTAAAAATGTTTTTTTTTTCAAGGCTGGACTAGGCTTGGATTTTCTAAAAAAATATTTTTTCAAGACTAGACTAGGGGTGGATTCTTTAAAAAAATATATTTTTTAAGGCTAGGCTAGGATTTAAAAAAAATAAATGTTAGGAGGTTTTATGTCTGTCCACCTAGTAAGGTCAAATGGTGTACCCGTGAACTAACTACTATGCGGCGGCGGCAAGTCATGCGTCTTAGGCGGCGCTTCCAAAGAGTCAGGCGTGTAAATGCGGAAGATTAAGCGCAGCGTAAATCCGAGTTCCTCGCTGCTCTTAGTATGTATAAAGACGAGCTGTCTAGGAGTAAAGAAGACAATTGGAGGATATTTGTACGGAACAATGGAGATGATCCATGGGGTATAGTATACCGTGTGTGCCGGAATGGTGGGTCTAAGAGACAGGTTGACCTACCACCTCGGAGTGGGGCGGGGAGCGTACGGCTTTTGTTGGGAACATTATTTCCGGATTCGGAGACTCCATCATTTCCTCCGTTTGTTGATGAAATGAGGAAGCCTCCGGGTTTAGATCATATATAAGTTGTGGACAGTATCTGCCAGGTTAGAAGTAGAAAATCGCCAGGTATGGATGGTATGACTGGAATGATGGTGAAAGCTATCTGGAAGTCCATTTTCTCCAGCTGCATTCGTCATGGATACTTCCCGCGTACTTGTGGTATTACTTAAGTCGCCTGATCGGGTAAGGAGTGATCCTCGCTCGTATCGGGGGTAGAATACTTATACCAGTGCTTGGAAAAGTACTGTTGAGGATTATGGTGACACGGCATAAGGATTGCTACAGCGAAGGTACGTCCTTGTATCAGTTCGGTTTTAGCGATGGTAGAAGTACAGGGGCCGCGTGGCGGCATGTGCAAGATAACCTGAGCCGATCAAATTCCAAATATGTCCTTGGCATATTTGTGGATTTAAAGACGCATTTGAATTCCCTTCATGGGATAGCGTGCTCACAAGGTTGTCAGAGGTCGGGTGTGGGGAGATTGCTCTTTGGGCAAGTTATTTCCGGGATAGGAAGGCTTGTGTCGTGGGAGTCAGTGCTTCGGTCTGGAGGGATGTGCAGCGTGTGCAGGGTTCCACAGTCCATGTATATGGAATCTCATGATGCATCCTCTGTTGCGGGAGCTAGCGGCCTCCTTAAAGGTCTGTGCATATGCTGATGACTTGCTCATCATGATTGAAGGGGATAGTCGCTTTGAACTGGAAAATCGTGGTGAGCAAAGAGATTGTGCAGACTTGGTGTGACCGAGTTGGAGTGGAGGTGGCTATCAAGAAGACGGTGCTGATGCCGTCCACCCTGCATTCGAGCTAGTGAACGGGATAACGGTATCAGAGCGTTTGAATTTACTTCCACACTCGGATCGGTTGAAGGAGAAGCTGACAGCGGTCGTTGGGACCATCAGGCATGTTTTGCGGACCGATTGGGGCTTGAGTAGGCGTTCTGTGCGTATCATATATGGTGGGCTTTTTGTTGCATGTGCAACTTATGGTGCACCTATATGGTACAGAACTGCATAAGCAGAAGAAGCTGCTATCGTGTCAGCGGGTTGTCATGTTAGCATGCTTGCCAGTGTGTCGCACTGTTTCTAAAGAGTCGTTGCAAGTGCTGCTTGGCACTTCGCCGCTTGATCTTGAAGTTGAAGATGTAGGGTTATCATGTATAAGCTTAAACGTGGTTTGCAGTTGGATGAGGATGATTGATTCAGGCCTTCTGATCTGGTGGATGGGGAGAGTAGGCGGTACAGCACTATCCTTCGGCAGTGTGTTGTTGATAGGTGGAGGCCAAGGTGGGCGAACAGTGACAAAGGGAGAGTGACGTACGTGACGCAACGTTCGTAGTGGACCGGGCAGACTTTCGCTTCGGCTTAAGTACTGGTTTCTTACTGACGGGGCATGGTCCTCTCAATGCGTTTCTGCATAAAAGAGGCCTGTCCCAGATGGATTTATGTGGGTGTGGGATGTCTATGGACTGGAAGCATACACTAACGGAATGCTGCTACTATGATGACATTAGAGATTTAGCAAGTATGGGTATATCGAATGGAGGAGCGGGGTGGGATTTAAGTAGGGCTCTTGAAAACGATCGGACCTTTAGTTGTTTAAGTAGTTTTGCTCGTGAAGCATTTAGGAGAAGGACAGCACTTAGTGGAGGTGGTCCTCGTGCTTAGCCCCTTTGCAGGTGGGCTCGGATCTGTCAATACAGTCTGACAGTTGGTGTGGCCCCTGGGGAGGGGGATGTGGTTTCGCGGGGGATGTGGTTTCCCCCTCACCATGGGGGAGAGTGTGCCTTCTGCATGCTCTCCAATTGGTACAGCACTTCGTGAATAAAAAAACATGGTTGGGTAAAATTCACCTGAGCGGATTCACGCTGAGGAATACGAAAAAGGGTTAAGGATAATGAAGACAATAAATTGGCTTGAAAAAAATATTTCTTTAAAAAATCCACGCTTGGGTTCGACTTGAAAAATATTTCTTTAAAAAATTGAAAAAAAAATATTTCCTTTGTAAAAAATTAAAAAAAATACATTTTTTAAAAAATTGAAAAAATATATTTTAAAATTTTGAAAAAATATATTTTTTTTTTTTAATTGAAAAAAAAAATGTTTCTTTAAAAAATTTAAAAAAATGCTTCTTTAAAAAATTGAAAACATTTTTTTTAAATTGAAAAAAATGTTTCTTCAAAAAATTGAAAAAATATTTTTTTTTTAAAAAAATTGAAAAAAATGTTTATTTAAAAAATCCACGCTTGGGTTCGACTTGAAAAATATTTCTTTAAAAATTTGAAAAAATTTTTCTTTAAAAATTTAAAAAAACCTTCATGTAAAAAATTGAAAAAAATACATTTTTTAAAAAATGTAAACAAATATTTCTTTAAAATTTTGAAAAAAATATATTTTTTTTTTATTAAAAAAAAATTGAAAAAAAAATTATTTTTTTAAAAAATTGAAAAAAATGTTTTTTTAAATTTAAAAAAAAATGCTTCTTTAAAAAATTGAAAACATTTTTTTAAATTGAAAAAAATGTTTCTTGAAAAAATATTTTTTTTTAAAAAATTGAAAAAAAATGTTTCTTTAAAAAATCCACGCTTGGGTTCGACTTGAAAAAATATTTCTTTAAAAAATTGAAAAAATATTTCTTTAAAAATCCACGCCTTGCTGTGGCCTCTTGAAAAAATATTTTTTTTTTAAATTGAAACAAATATTTCTTTAAGCAATTGAAAAAAAATTTTTAAAAAATTGAAAAAAATGTTTTTTTAAAAAAATTGAAAAAAAAAATTTTTTTTTAAAAAAATTTAAAAAAATGTTTCTTTAAAAAATTTAAAAAAATGTTTCTTTAAAAAATTGGAAACATTTTTTTTTTAAATTGAAAAACATGTTTCTTGAAAAAATATTTTTTTAAAAAAAATTGAAAAAAAATGTTTCTTTAAAAAATTGAAAAAAATATTTTTTTTAAAATTGAAAAAATTTTTTTTAAAAAATTGAAAAAAATATATTTTTTTTAAATTGAAAAAGTCTTCCTTTAAAAAATCCACGCCTTGTGGAGGTCCTTGAAAAAAGTCTTCCATTAAAAAACCCACGTCTTGTTGAGGTCCTTGAAAAAATTCCACGCCTTGTTGGGGTCCTTGAAAAAAGTCTTCCTTCAAAAAAATCCACGCCTTGTTGAGGTCCTTGAAAAAAAGTCTTCCTTTAAAAAATACACGCCTTGTGGAGGTCCTTGAAAAAAGTCTTCCTTTAAAAAATCCACTCCTTGTGGAGGTCCTTGAAAAAAAGTCTTCCTTTAAAAAATACACGCCTTGTGGAGGTCCTTGAAAAGTCTTCCTTTAAAAAATCCACGCCTTGTGGAGGTCCTTGAAAAAAAATATTCCTTTAAAAAATCCACACAATGGTTTGACTTGAAAAATATGCCTTTAAAATTCCACGCTTTGGGGGAGGCCAAAAAAAATATTCTTTAAAAACACGCATCAGTTGATCCTTTGATTTTTTAATGCTAAGTTGGAACAAATCCTTCCCAATGTTTTGAAATAGAAATCATTAACCAAGCCATCGCAATTAGGTTGGGATAATTTCAATGAAGGTATTTTTTCTCTTCTTTTTTGTATTTTAAAAATCCCGTCGAACAAAAAACCCCAGAATGCCAACTAATTTCCACACACATTACATCTCCTCATCGTCAACATCAATGGCTTGTGGTCTGATCGCTCCCCCCAATCACAAACCTCTCATTCTGGCAACTGAAAAACACAACAAATTAAATGAAATTGAATTAAACAGGATTAAATTTTGATTTGTATTTGAAAAACCGATAAACAAAAATGGACTCAACGAGAAAAGCAGCACCAACAGAACAAACAGCAAAAATCTGATGTTCGTTCGTTTTGTAATCAAATGACAGCATTTCGCTCTACCTCTCCATACTCCTGGCTAACGAACCATTTTGCAAAAAAAAAAATTAAATTTATTTCACATCCTGACACTCTCCTTTTGCCGCCTCCCGTTGTATTACAAAATACAACTGCTCCACTTTCCAAAACTACTTCCTTGCCCAGCCGAATATTCAGACAGAACTGCTGGCTGGGCATTGGTTTGATGGCAACTGCTGCCGGTGAGTGAGGTTTGAACAGTCATTTGTTCAAATATCAACAACCACCATTGAATATACGAAGGAGTCCGAGACACACACAGGCACACACACACACACACAGATGTAGATGAACGGCAGCCATTATTTTCCAGATAAACTAAAGAGGAGTAACATTTGGCAGGGTTGCCAAGTTAATAAAATTTTTTTTTGGTATTTTCAAGGGGAATTTAAAAAAAGGCGGTAATTTTTTTTAAACGCAAGGCGTGGGTTGTCAAAAAATATTTTTTCAAAACTTTATCCAAGACGT